TGAATGGCTGTAGGTAATTACATGAAATTTGGACGTAAGGAGATTTTGTCAACAAACGTTTATTGATACTGAAATGTACTCAATGATTAGTTTTCCAGTTGACATCATAGAAGCCAACATGGCTTGTTAAAATTAAGCTGGACACATCACAAGTTTGTTTTTTAAACCAATCAGAGCTAAGTGAGTAGAGGGTAAGGCTAGATAACTTATGTCTTTAATGGTATATGCCTGTTAACTTTCTCTCTTGTGTTGGACATAATTAGTAATAATACTGTAAGCAAATTTTTTTTGATTTGTACATTTCTATTTTCCACAACTGACTAATTCAAACCAGCACGTGAGACACATGGGATGAGCAAAAAAAGTCTAAATTATACACAGGTTGGAATATTGGCTCCTTGAGGGATAAACTGTGTTAGAAATACAAATTCCAGAATGCCTAATTTCTAAGGGAATTGTCTCTCCCTTGCTTTTTTTTTTTTCTTTTTAATTTCAGATTATATAAATACTAATGGCATTTGTTACAAAGAGATTCTTCGGAATTTTTCTTTGTTACACTCTGTACAACATTGTCATGATTGAATTTTTTTTTTTTTTTATAGCTAAGACTTACATTGACATCTGAACAGTTGTTAAATAATCTTTTCCAATTAGGTTATTCTTTCCAAAGTATTTTAGCTCCAGGAAAATTTTAATTCTGATGTCTAAATAGGTTAATGTGTTTTATTTTACAAAAATATATGTAGAATCACAGCCCTTTTAGAATTAGAAGAAGCCTTAAAAATTCTGTCATTTTAATGTCATTATTTTATAGATGAGAACACACACCAAGGACATATAGTGATTTTTCTAGAAGCACATGTGTTGTTAATGACAGATCTAGGTCAGAAATCCATTTCTTTTTAGATAATCTAAGAAAGCATTCTTTGTTTCATTATACAGTAAGACTTCATTTTTTTGAACATGTTATATAATTCTGGTTCATGATCATGAATAGCTGCAAATATCATATAGCCTTTTTTTTTTTAAGATTTTTTATTTGACAGAGGGAGAGAGATCACAAGCAGGAAGAGCAGCAGGCAGAGAGAGAGAGGGAAGCAGGCTCCCTGCTGAGCAAAGAGCCTGATGTGGGACTCGATCCCAGGACCCCAAGATCATGACCTGGGCCAAAGGCAGAGGCTTAACCCACTGAACCACCCAGGTGCCCCAGATAGTCTTTTTTTAATCCTTAAGAAAAACAAGACTGTGCTGTGAAGTGTGTAAACCTGGCGACTCACAGACCTGTACACCTGGGGCTAATAATACATTATATGTTAATAAAAATTAAAAATTAAAAACAAAAAAAAAAGAAAAGAAAAACAAGACTGTTTTTTCCAGGAGGTAACTCATTCCTTACTGTTCTCAGCTTCAGGTTATTTGCACATAAATTCTTCAGTTTAGTCATCTCATAAACTATTTTCTCCTTGTCTATATTAAATTCCTTCCAAAAAATTTCAGCTTTTTCTTCTCTCTCCCTCTCTCAAATGGAAGCCTTTTTAAATCTTGGTTATTCAGTATGAAACTCTTATCATCTTTGGATTTGTAGTTTAATGTACTATAACATACAGGAACTGGAAAATTAAAACTGTGAAGCCACATATCAATGCTCTTATAAGTAGGACCTTTTTAAACAACAGCAGCAAAAACAAACAAAAAAACAAAACCATGGGAGACACATTTAAGAGGCATGATTTGTCCTAAGCTAATGAGAATAAAGCTTGTGGGCGCCTTATTTGCAAGGACCACCTTCCAAAGCTCTGAGATGAATCCTAACATTCATCTTGACAGAAGTTTTTGCAAATTTTAAAAGATAAGCTATTTTAATGACAAGCATATAAAAATGCTTTCTCCTTCACTCAGATATCCCCTCCACCACACTTTCCTTTGTGGGTTGGTAAGAATCAAGCTATCTACCAGATAGTTTGGATTTACATTTAGCGGATATATTCATACCTCCATATATAATTAAGTATTCATGTCCTAGGGAACAAATGGTGTTTAGGAATACTGCAACCCCTCACTATGTTGTGTCAAGAGGGGCTGAGAACATATTAGTCTATGAACAGAACCTACCTGTTCTACCACCAAATATGAGAAAGGAAAGAAACATGGTTGAAATGTACTAAAGATAAAACAAAGATAAATGTGCAAGCTGTTGGAAGGGTAGTATGTTATGTTATACATATGGCTTGAACAGGTAGTGAATACAAATTTGCATGATTTTTCTTAATTTTGTGTTTATGTTCATCACCTTTACAAAATTTGTTGGGATTTCTCATACATACTCTAAATACTCACTCTCATAATTTAGTATGATTTTGTATCTTCTTAAAAAGCTCCCCTCTGCACAACTTTTATAGGATTCAGATCCTAGATCAGCCCTTGGGTGATCAGCTTGCCAAAGTTAATCATTTCTGCCTTCAGGACAGCTGGAACCTGGCTCACTTCAGGAGCTAGAATCAGCAGGGCTGGGTTAGGAAAGACCCTATTATGAGGAACTGAAGAAGTCAAAACAGGTACAAACTTCTTTGGGAAGCACAATAAAAAGTTCAACATCAAAGCAGTTGAATTCTACTGATGTCTAAGGGCATTATCATGGGGCCAGGAAACAGACAAGTTCAGAAGCTTCGCAGGCCCAAATGTATGGCAGAGAGCAAGAAGCAGTGGTTGCATCTAAGAATATTTCCTTGAAAAAGCTGGCTTTTTAAAGACTTGTTTTTATGAATGGGAACTGCCTAATAGGAAGGTAGTTGGCTTATCTCAAATAGTCAACATGGACACTATATCCACTGTTAACCATTCAGGCTAAAGAATTTAAAATCCATATGACTTCAAGACCATAGCCCCAAGGGATTGCAATCATTACTTCATTTTGCTTGTATGAATGTCATTAGCGTATATAGGTGATCTGTAGAAAAAGTAGATGGGAGAAGAAAAAAATAGGTTACATACACATACACACACAGTAAGTTCTGAGGTTCCAGGAGACGAGAGACATTAATTTCTGAGGTTCCAGGAGCCAAGAGATTTCTACTGCTCCATTTTCATAGGATTTGGAGGAAGAAGAAAATGGGAATTATTCCAGTTGGTAAGAAATTATTAAAATATTCTCACTGCAAATACCTTCACTTTAAAAGGTAGTATGGTGGTCTAAGATTCTTTTCTTGGTTAAATCTGGGTTTGAATCTGGTTCTGCCACTTGTAGTCAAGTTCCCTTGGGCAAGGACTTAACTGATTTCCTAAATTCCCTAAATTACTAAAAATAAGGTTAATAAGAAGAAAAGCATACTATTTACTTAGTGATAAATGATTTATACATGTTATTATTTAATTGCTGTAACAATTGTTTGGAGTAGTTACTTTTAATATCTTCATTTGACAGGTGGACACACTGAAACTTAAAGAGGCTGAGGAAATTGTCCAAGAAGACGTCCAGCTTCTAAGTAGCATCATTAAAAATGAAATCTGCATGGTTTTTATAATGCTGACTGCCTCCCAAATAATGCTGTCTACATGTTGCTATTTGTGAGAATTCTTTAATATAAATTCATGCAATGCTCATGATATACAGAGGAGTTTTAACAAATATCAGTTCCTTCTCTTTGTATCTGTACAGTACTATTAATTTTCTCAAAGCAATTCACATTTATTTTATTTGATTGTTATGCTACTGATAAGGAAACTGACTAAATGATATCAACAAATTATGACTGGATCTGATCCTAGGTCCCAGGGTTTCTCACTTCACATTTTCCACCTTCTCGTCTCCAAACCAGTCCAAATGTCTTTAGAAGAGACTCGTTTTTACTTTCTCTTGGGTCCTCCCTCCTTTTTATAAGCTGTAGGCAGAAAGGAATTTTTTTTTTTTAAATAAATGAATGAGTGCCTTGATGTTACAGAACCTGATAGCACACATTTAAAGTGATTACTCTCTGTTCTTTGGGAACATCAGAGCAGGAAGGCCACGCTCAACCAGACATTCCCTCGCCTTGCAATGACAAGCCTTAATGGAATCTGGCCTGCAGAGTGTCTGGGCTGTGTGCGAGGCTGGTGTCAGAGCAAGTGCAAGCAAGTTCGGGAAGCACAGTCTTTATGACATCGTGTAACTCAAACAGTCCTTCAAGGCGCCACCCACCTTTTCCAGGGGGAATCTGCTTAAGTGATTCTCTTGGAAACAGTGTGGAAGGGGGGTGTGTGTGTTCAGTTACGTGCTTTTGTATGTGGATGGGTGAGTGGGTGGAGACAGGTGGGGGTTTGGTGAGGAAGATGAGAAACAACGGTGGAAAAAACCACCACCACTGCCACAAAATATTCTGCTCGAGGATGAGGGAGTACACCCTACAGCTGTTAGCACTGTTCAGCATATTCTGCATATTTACATATACCAAGTATTTCCAAACAGCCTTGTGTTTGTTTTAAAATCCCACATGAAGATGTCTGGTAAAGCTGTCACTCGAAAGCTTATTTTCTCGGTGATGTTTACAAAACTGTTTTCAAAATTCTCTGTCTACATCATAGACCAAGCAGAAGAGTTAACTGTCGTTACCAACTTTATAATTTAGACTAATCCATCTACGCATCAGACAACATTCAGAGCAAAACACCCATGTTCTAAGGCAAAGAAAACACCTGGTTGGTTGAAGACAATTTTTTTTTTTAATTATTTTTTGGTTCAATACAAAATGAAACACAGAACATCACCCAGTGATACTCTGTCTTGAAGCCACCAAAGTGTGATATTCTTAATTACTATTGATTCTAATCTTTGATTTAGAAATATTTTGTTTTTAGGGGGGTTTTTGCTTGGCACTTTTTTGGTGTGTCTTTTGTTTTTCGTTTTGTAAGAAAAATGCTTAATAGTGGCTGGATTTCTCATATAGCCATTTTCTTTAGGAAATATAAAAATACAAAACCACACATAGCCCATTTGAAAAAAATTAAGAAACTTCCAGCAGAAGGAATGGGGTTGTTTAAAGCTTTATTTTTCTTTTAGCAAGATCCACAAGAAAAGGATAGAGTGTCGTGTTTAAAGGGGAACAGATTTTGTATTTTTTGGCAAGATAATAAATCCTCTGTTGCTATATTTGGCTCTCTGCAAACAGTGTGTTTTACAAGTGCAAAGCAAAGATCCATGCTGGTGTCCTTCATTCAGCCACAGCCAAACTTGGTGTGGAAAGTAAAACGGTTGTACTTGAGTGTTTCGAAGACAGTCTAGCTCATTTACTGATCAACAACATTCCAGAGTACAGGTACCTACTTTACACATTAAATGCATCAAAACAGGTTTGCTTTCCATCACAGTTGTTCCACTGCTTAACTGATAACAGATGTAATGATTCAATCTGGACAAAAATGTAAAAGCTTTACTGTGTCAGTGTGGTCATATATAGATATTTTTGTCACATGTGTATAAGCAGGTCAAATGAGATGGTTGGAGACTTAAGGCATCACAGGATGATCACACGTTCCCAAAAAAGGAAGCAAAACAATTAAATGGTAGTTGATTATCCCCAGAGAAAACACACTTCAGCTAGGAAGAATCTACACCAGATGTCCTGCCCTCCACCCCCCTGAATGCTTGTCTGACATAAATACCGCATAGCCCTTTAGATTCCAAGGCACTATAATAACCACGTGAAATGTTTCAAATAACAACAGAAATTCCCTTCATATGCCATTATTTAACTGAAGGAAGATGAATTCTCCACAAATGACCATTGTAAACATGGAATAAGCCTTGCTAGTTTCAGTGATACATTAAATACTCTCAGGTTACAGGGCTGATGAAAAAATATATCGAAATCTACTACTAATTGTGGTGGTAGAATAATGCCCCTTTCAAAAAAATACTCACATCCTAATCTTTAGGACCTGTGAATGTCACCTTACATTTAAGAACTTTGCAGATGTAATTAAATTAAGAACCTTGAGATGAGGAGACTACGCAGGCAGACTCAATGTAATTACAAAGGTCTTTAAACATGTGAGAGAGGCACAAAAGAGAGGGTCAGAGTGATGCTATGTGAGAAGGACTTGGCCAGTAGCTGATGGCTTAGAAGATGGAGGAAGGGGGCCATTAGTCAAGGACTCTAGAAGCTTGCAACAAGGAAAGAGACTCTCCCTTAGAGCTTCCAGAAGGAATGCAGCTGACACTTTGATTTTAGCCTGAGAGCAGTGCCGAATGTCTGACCTACAGGGTGGTTAAGATAATAAATGTGTTGTTTGAAGCCATTAAGTTTGTGGTAATTTTTTACAGTGGCCATAGAAAACTCATAACACTAATCTCGTTTAAATATGGCAAACAGTTAAGAATGCGAAATTATCTCACCTAATATGTTGGAGAGCCTACTGATTCAAACACTTATTTCTAGACTTTTGCACTTCTAAATGAAAGATCCATTTAAGAAGAAAGTAGAGTCCAATGTAGGAAAACTCCAGCTTCCTTCAAAAATTCTTAGAATTTTCCTTTCCAGGTGCAGTTGTTCAGTGCCAATGAATTGTTAGGAAAGTTTTTTTGTTTTGTTTTTTGGATTTTTTCCATAATACTTATATCAAGTTCTGTAACCAACAAGTGTAAAAACAAAGCAACAAAATGCATTTCTCATAGTCAATGATAATTTTAGAAGCATTGTACTAAATTCATTCACAAGCTTCCTGCTGTTATGTAATTAACATGGCCCATTTCACTTGCCCTTCCATTATAAACACTTCGCTTCTAACCCACTCCTCACTGTAACAATTAGATTCCCTGGCCTTAGAAATTAACCTCATAAAAACAAACAAACAAAACACTAGAATGTTTTAATTTCCAAAGATATTTATAAATCGCTTAATCGGATAAGAAGAAAACAGAGCTTTAGTTAATTGTCAAGAAATGCAGACCAAACCAAAATGCTACCTTAAAATACAAACATTAAATTCACATTAAATTATTTATTGAACATATTGAAGATAACATTGTTTTTACTTACAAAGTCCTCCACCATCTTTTATCACTGACATATTATGCGACCTGCATTTGAAGAATGAACAGAAATATGAAAATGTCTCTTTCCCGAACCCCAGAAAAAGAACAGAAAAAAAATTTAAGATTTTTGAATTAGTTTGTAAAGCCAAAAGTCTTATGAACTTTGTAAATTAAGACTGACAACATAGGCAAGATTACTTAATTTGTCTTTCTGGAAATGTAAAATTAAGATAGCATAAAACTGCTCATAAAACTATCAAGTCTGGAATTTTATTGTACTTCAATGGTGCAGGATAATATTTCTATTAATAGTTTTCAGTTTACTTAATCAAGTGACAAATATAAAGTCTTCCACATTATTTCTTATAAAAGTATTTCACCTTCCTAGATTTATATGATAAAAATTAATCCGTTTTCCCTTTCAACATATGCATTTTAAAATGATACAAAGAATTCACATGGAAACTCTTCCCTATACTGTATATCCAGAAAAATGTATGGAATAGTCTTTTTAAATCATATATAATATCCAAGATTGTAAATATCCTAAGAAATTAAATCATGTGTGTAAATAATCATTATTAATTTCTGCCCTAGCCACAGCATAAAAAAATGTACATCTCTATTAGTATAAAGAGATATCATTAGAAAAGTTCACATCTTATGCATACACCAAACAAAAATCTCCTAAAGAATCTTATATTCTAAAAGAGCTATTCTTACGTCAAAATTTAGTAGTCCAGAAATTTAAAAAAAAAGAAGCTAATTGACAGTAACCTGCCCTTTCTAGAAGGTATCATAGTTTACTTATATAATGGAATTGGTAAATTACACTTAATCCAATTAGTATTTCCTGGAACTTTAGAAGGAGATTCAGATAAATTTATTGGATCTAATTAATTTGCAATTTCAAGTGAATACTTGTTTGATCAATTATTTGAAACTATACAAATATTTTTCAAACAAACAAATAAAGCATAATGGACAATAAAGGAAATAAGAAAATTAGGATATTTTAATAATAATGGCTATTTCTATATTTTGGCAAAGTGTATAGGGTGAAATTCCCAGAGCGCACTAAAAGAAAACAGCCCGTTGAAAAATTCCGAAAGTCTGTTCTGTGCCCAATGTCCATGACCAAGTTACCAAGGTAATTAACATTTTGAAGCTCTTCAGACTGAGGTCTTCCTAGAGGGCCCACCCATACCCCAATCTTCAATCATCCACTTTTGTGCAGCTTATCTATTTGTCTTCCACACACAATTTTTAACTAAAACTATAATCCGATTTTTTGAAAATGACTTTAATAAGAGTTTTAATACTTTAACAAGAGATTTAAAGAGCTCTTAGGCCATGTTTTCAGAGAATAAATTTTAATTTCTCAAAGAAGCTTTAAATTTTCTGAAAGACATGTCTTTTATCCTGGAGGAAAGAAAATACAAAATGAAGCGAAACTGGGTTCTTAAGATCCTGTATATGAAAATCAGCAGGCTGATTTCAGTCTTGGTCTCATACAGTTTTTGCTTTTCTGCTGTCCTTATGTCTGCTGTAAAGGTGATCAATCACAGGGATTCTAACTGCCATCAATACTCCTTTGTAACTGCAATGGTTCAAGTGAACTCTTTCCATCTTCAATAACTGACACAGTGTCAACATCTGCTTCCAATAAAATTGTTTCTTTTTTCTCAAGCAGAGTAAATCTGCTGAGATTGTAAAGGGATTTTTTCCCTCCCCTTTTCATGCAAACGATTTTTTTCCATCATATTTTGCAATTTTTCCTCCAAGGCAAGTAAAAAAAAAAAAAAAAAAAAGAATAACTTCAAAAGAGAGGTTTTAATTCCAGGTGCTAAAGAAGCCAAAATAGAACTGAAAAAATATAAATTTTGGTGATTTAGTAAAGATGTTGCCTTAATATGAGAGAAAATACATAGGATCCTGGATGAATAGGATTTTGGAAATGTAAGAAAACTCACAGTTGGATCTACATACCACTAAAAGGTTAATTTATTTTCCTTCATAAGTGACACACTAAAGTAACAGAAATAATTAAGAAATTTACATTTTATCTTCAACAAATAATAGTGGACAAGATTCTCTTGCAACAATTTGTGATGAAAAAGCAGTCATATATCTATTTGATTGCTGCAGAAGTGGATATGGGAAGTATAAAGAAGGGACATCTGGGAGCTCAATTTTATGACTTACTTAATTGACAGACATTTGTGGTACACTGTGGTACTTACTGAACATTTACTATGAGGCAGAGATGACTGATGATAGATAGATAGATGGATACATAGATAGATAGATATGATTTTCAGACTTCACAGCCTGCCACTTAGGTACTGTTATCTCACTTTGCTCATAAGATAAATAAAACCCAAATCACACATACCTAATTGTGGCCAAGCCAGAATTCAGACAATGACCTAACGCACAAGTCAATGCTCTTTTCCATGAATTCATTTTGCTTCTCTATTCATTCCTCAGTCAACACTCCAATATATAAACCTTCCTTTTCCACCACTAATGCCATTGCCCCATTGACTTAATTTGGCAATATTATGTAACAAAGGGACACTCGTTAAGAAATAGAATTTAGTTTCTTGAAATACTGTTTCTGATTGCAACTTCAAATGACAAATGTAATATTAAACCAGATAGCCAATGCAAAAACCGGATAGATCCTGCGTGTTCTGCAGGTCTTAGCATAGGAATAGGCAGTATGATTTCCAAAATGAATAATGAGCTCCACAAGGGCATGTTTTATGCCAGTTACTAAAATTTGTCTTTTTTTAAGTTTTTTTATAAAGTTAACAGAATTAATTCCTTAAATTATTTGCAACCCACTGGTTCTCATTTGCAAAATGTAGAGCAACCCTGGCCATTTCTGCTTAAAATAATAATGTAAATAATTTTAAGAGGACAGAGAAAGAAAAAAAAAAGCAGATGAAAGTTCAGAGGGGATGGTTAACCTTCTTAAGAAGAAACACTGGTTTTTAAAATATTTAGATGCTCTTTTCAAATAAACAGTGAGGGACAAAATAGCCTGTTGAGATCTAACTTAACACTACTATGTTGTTCCTTAACTCATGTTGGTTTATAGCGGTCGAAGCCTTGACTCAATGTCAAATAAATGAGATGATTTAATAGGGTCTATCTAGCTCAAAGACCTTTAAAAACCTTGAAAGAAGTCTAATTTTTAAAGTAGTCAAAAGTGGAGTGGTTCCAAATGAATGGGGAAGAAAGTTGGTAGCCCTCAGTGAAGCAGGTTAGGAGCCTCTAAGTTCAACAGCATCATTTTGATGTGCAAAGAGCAGACCCAGAGAGTGATAGCATTTTAAACTTAAATTTAGAATATCATGCTAAATTACAACTCATCCTCTTTTAATTAAGGTGGTGTAGGTAATATGATCATAACAAGGGGGTACCAGTCAAAAAAAAAAAAAAAAACAAAAAAAAAACAAAACAGAACACCAAGGGGATGCCAGACAAAGATAGAGACATGCACTCTCTTTTTACTTAGACTTTGATCCATTCCTTGCTTGTTTAAGGATCTAATCCTTGCAGTATGTCAACAATGCCTTTTCTTAACAGGAGACCTCACTTACAAATCTTTCCTGGATACAGCAGAATTCAGATCTCCAACTTTTCTTGGACCCCAGAGCCAAGGAACCTTTCATACTGTAGTTATCAGGAGTGGCACAGAACACAGTCCAAATTCAGGGGGTAGCTATACAATTGTCTCTCTCTCCTTGAATTCAGTTCAATGGTGAGTAAGGAAAGGAGCAGAGAGTTAATACTTTTCTTCTCCCTTCGTTGGGAAAATCCAACTGAATGACCTGAATGAGCTGGAGTACAATGCTGTTCTAAGAGAAACTGCAAAGGAAATTAATAGGTTCCAAGGGAAGGGGAGGAAAATAAATAATTCCCAGGGAGTCATCCCATGGGAACTGCACGAATACTTCACTTTGAAAACTCAGGAGGACACAAGAGGAAACCAATTTTATAGATTCATTTAACTTCATGCTCCACATATTGGGCAAAGTACATATAACCATAACGAATCAAACTATAGATCAAAATATAGATAATTTAACCAAGCCACTCCCTAGAAATCTAAGTTCATATCATTTGTAATATGATTTGTAAGTCAAAAATTCCTTAAGTTTTGACCTCACATTCGGTAAAAATATGCACATTGTGTTAAGGAAAATTTGGTTAAGAAGAAGCAACTTATAACAATATAAGAGAGTGTATAGATTTATAACTCATCAGAAGCACCAGGAAAGAAAATCAATGCAAAAAACAGAGATAAGGGAACTACTTTAAATTATCTGTAAGAACCCTGCCTAGCTGAGCAGAGGTTGTGCTGCTCTTATAGCTAAAATGTTTATGCACAAGATATACACAATTTAAAGTGGAAAGTGGTATTTCATTAAACACTGTATTTCATATGGGTGAAGACCAGGATGGGGCACATTTGAAAAACTTTTACCAAACTAAAACTTCTATATAACACTAACTTTTTAATGTGACCCATCTCTGGAAGCAGCTAGATGAGAATGGACTTGGCATCAAAAATTCTTCATAACTGCTACTTTTATAACCCTAATCTTTTCCTAACAAGGTCTTAATGGTAATTCCAACTTCACCTTATTTAGATCCTGAGGGCCATCCCAAGTAGAATCCTGAGTTTTCAAAGATAAATTTCAAAGAATAGTCAAATTGTAACCCAATTTAAGTAACTGTGGCATAAATTCCAATTTAAATTTCATTTTGCTCTAAAAAGTTTTCTTAAAAGAGTTCAATCAACTAAGACCAGATTTAAACAAACAAGAAAGTCTTGAAAAAAAGATGTTTAAAATATTACATATATAATATATTATTTTTTAATTTACAATGACGAGTAAAATTATCAGAAATAGTCATTGAATTAAAGGCTTTGTGACACGTCTAGTACCTTCCCAAATATTGTCCCTTGAACATCTCTAGGAAAAAAAAGTCCACTTAAAATATGACCTTAAAAATTGCCATGATTGCATAAATAGAAACAAGGAAACCAAGCCACTGGCAATCAAAGGTAGCATGGGTAAATGCATTTTTTTTTCCAGTAGTTGATATAAACTGGTTCCATTTATCAACGTTGGATGGGCTAAAAAGACAATTATATACTCTAGGCAAACTCTCCCTCTGATTTAAAGTTTCTGCAAAACTTAGTCAACTTCCAAGTACTCTTTGGGACAAATCGAAGTAATGAAATATCCTTTTTTAAGTGTGGTCATTAAAACACTTCCTTTTCAAGCTATGCATATAACTCAAAGCTAAGTGAGCTAGCATGGCATTAAATCTTCACTGAGATTTAGTGTAAAACAATACTATATTGGCTTGGCTATGGTGCTACTTTTATAAAAAAAGGAGAAACTGTCAAACACTTGAGGTAACCTAGAAAGCACAGAGCATATTACAGACATCTTAAAGACAAGCCTTTTCAACATTTTTGCCAGTGCTTCTCTGAGAGCAAGTTCTTTAAACAGAACTTAACAATTTTTACAATATTAAAAAAAATACATCCCTCAAAAATAGCCCATCAATGCTAAATCAAACTTTCCGTATTTCTACAAAAATAGATACACATAGAGCTACAAAATCGTATTCCTGAAAGAATGAGCATTTTCATTTGTGGTTCATCTTTTCCTGACAAGGTGGTTGGTTTAAAAAGGAAAAAAAAAAAATCCAAAGGAAACAAAAATTAAACCATGTATCCATAAAAGCAAGACTTAAAAAAGAGAGTTGCACAGTTGGCAAAGGCTCAGATGAGGGGAAAAAACAAACAAAAATGCTTTTCTTCAATGTCTAGAACCCACTCTGCTTTCTCAAGAAAAGGCTTCCAACCAAAGTCAGCTGGCTGATACTTCCTCTTCTTGCATATCTATCGTGTCCCACTGCAGAATGGGAAATCCTGGCAGCATCTTTCCCAGTGGGCCCACGGAGTCACACTCCAACCTGACTTGCTAATACTGTTTCAGTACCATGGTGATTCCTTGCTCTTGTCTTGATGCTGTAGACCTGGGAAAGATGAGAGTGAGAAAAACGAAAAGCTTTAATATAGGAAGTACTCAAAAGTGGGCATCATCTACAAGGCATTGGATATAGAAGCCAAAAAGACAATCTAGCCCACTATAGGATATGGACTAAGGATGACCTGATCTCAAAAAAATTCCTTGCTTGAGTTCACAATTTTCACAAAGCCAACCAATACAGCAGTGGACAAAAACTCTAGACCAGCACAGTGCTATTTGGATAGTAGAAGTTGTTCTTCTTTTTTTCTTTTGGTATAGTAGAAATTCCTTACTGTAGTTTTTTATTTTCTTAGAGTATGAGTGATAATAAGTACAATAAAATAATATAAACAAAACCTTTTTATTTCTAATTCCAAAAGGAACTGATATTTGGAGAAAACAAGTTAACCAATCTTTGGGGCACTTCGGTTAATACCTTTCAGCAATAAAAATGATACTTTCGGACTAAAGGACTGAGTCAAGTCTGGTGCTATTTTGGAAATGTAGTCCATGGAAATGTAGTCACCATCCAATATGGTGAGCAATGAGACATGGTTAAAAACTGGATTTAATAGTGTTTAGTAAAACAGATACAGTTGGTTCATAGCTAATAGCACAAAATATTATTTTTATAAATGTACTTATTTTTTCACATCGTCCTCCAGAAAATAATTAAGATGGTATAAAAACCTATACTTCATAGCAAGAAAATAAAATTTACAGATAAAGTTTTAAAAGTAGTAACAAGGAAAATAAGTGAACACATATGAATTCCAACTCAAAGCTAAAGTGATTAAGAAGCTTATCAAACAGAAAATGGAAATTGTGATTCTGATTTAGTTCCAATACAGTCAGTTGACTGATTTCTGAGGTGGACAATTAGCATAGCACCTTCAGCTTATACCTACTTGAAGTCACTTACCTCAGGTTCCTTTATTTTTGGCATAATCATTTAGAAGAGGACAGACAAAGCAATGATTAAAACCAAATACCAAAACATTAAGGAGTGGGTAGAAAAGCAGCATGTCTGCTGCTGTACGGGTGCTCAGATCACAGGGTGTTTTCTTGATCCTCGATCTAAAACGGTTGTAAGTCTGGGGTGGATGTCAGAAATGGAATGGTTAAATGAGCCAGTAGGGTTTTAAATTAAAATTGTTACTAAAACAGCTGCAATGATTTCATTTCTTGTCCCTCTAACTTGTCAAAGAATTTTACAAAACAATGGATATCATTACAAAACAGACACAATTAGTCAGTCATTGATGGGAGACATTAAGACAATCTACAATAAGACTACATAAAGGGAGAAAGAACAAAGAGAAAAAGACAAAGCACCTCATAAGAACCATAAGTCACCATCTATATCCTATAGCACTTGCATACTGGGGGAAAAAGCAACACTTTCTGAAAAAAAGATTAGTTTCATCTTAATTTTTGTTTTCTCTTGAGACTAGTATTATGTTTAGATACAGAGTCAACAGTTTGTTTTCCTTTCAAAAAAAGAGGAGGAGGAGGAGAAACAGGAGGAAGAAGGGAAGGAAGAAATAAAAGGATTTGGGGTATACCCATTCACTCTAAATTTTCTCTACTCGTTTTCAAATGATTTTGTGGTTAGAATAATTTGTAACCTGACACAGTCTCTGTTTGGTGACTCTTATAATCTAAACCACCTTAACTGACAATTTGCTGACTGCATAAACATTTTTTTCATTATTGAAACGTCTCATCTTCTGTATGACTCAGTATTTCCAACACTTGACGACCCCATCAATCTATAGAATGTCAGCACGGCAAGTCATGAATAGTGTTGGAATCATCAAGTGGTTTGAGTGTCTTTTTTTTCCTCTTAGATAAAGGCAATCCCTAGTTTGCTTTGCAAAGACATATGACTCCTTCAAAATCATGTTAGCCTTTTTCTGCAGACAACTATTGCATTACTTATCATAGCTCCACATTTTCCAACCAGAATTAACAGAGAGCATTCTCTCCTTATAACTTCATCTCATTGTTTTGTTTCCAAGTCTTTGCATTACTGTAAAGCAAACCTTAAAAAAAAAAAAAAATCAATTCGTCTAAGGCCTCAAATGTATTAAATAGCTAATGTGGTCCTTGTGGTTTAGCTGCTTCTTGGTGATGGTACAGTCTGTCAAACCTTTGCTTTAATTACCAGGTATTTCAAAAATATGCATAAAATTCAACAGTTAGGCATAGGTAAAACACAAGAAAATGAACAACCACAAACAAAACACCCTACTACTAATAAGCTGCAGGAGAGAAGCAGCTAGGATTTTTCTTATTAGACAACTGATGAGGATAGATCGGGACATTTAAGAGTCAGCTGGCATGTTTAGTTTTTTCAGCAAGGGTTGAAGATGACAAAATCATTGACTGTATGTGGTCTACATACATTTGGGGTTTCCCCAGCTTTTCTTACCAAAACACAAAATCTACTCTGCTATGTTCTCCTATTCGGGCTTGTTCTGCCTCTCACTTTCCTAACTCAAACTGATAGGAAATTGGTTCGTAACATATACTGAAATCTCCCCACAGGCTGTCTGAAATCACCCATGTTTATCTTCTTGATATCAATAACTCAGTTTTAATTTTATTGTTTAGTCTGTGAGATTTTTAGTCGAAAAGAAAATAAACATCATAAAAATGTCAGTGAACATTTTCTTAAGGCTGAATATGACAGGCACTGTGTGAAGTACTTTTCATGAAAGATTTCATGTAATGCTCCCAACCATGCTACAATAATATTTATTTTACAAATGAGAAAATTAAGACTAAGAGAAATTATGAAACTATTAAGTGGCAGAGCTAGGATTGAAAACAAGGTGGTCTGATGTCAGAGTCAAAGGTCTCAACTACAATGTATATGGCTGCCCCCATATGGACTATATTTGCCAGAGACTATGTCACTAACCTCTACTACCCACAATTCCCCAAGCCAAAAATCATTTCATTAAACCAATCTGAGGAAAAAATACATTTTTTAATATTCCTCTTCACACTGTTTAGAAATCACCTGACAACAGAACCAATGTCAGAGTTAAAAGTAGAGCTCTTTTAGTAACCTTTTTAAACTATACATCTGTAATGTTTTTTAAAAGCTTTTTAAGGTGCAGTAATTGATTACACAGTAGTTTATTATACTTCAGATGAAGACTACTTCAGTTGTGTAATGGGATATTCCACGTTGACTGATACGTTTTTGATATATAACCCTCCCCACAACCACAAAAAAAAAAAACCCTTCCCCACTGTTAATACTGAAGGCGCAGGGTGGCCATCTGGTTCATGAGGTGTTTTCAGAAATGAGACCAGAGAACAAAAACTTCAGATTGTTGGCTTCAGAGTTTGAGAGTCTGGGATTCAGTTAGGAGAAAAGCTTGAATGGAAACACAAGCCCACAGACCAGTTCCTCAATTCAAAGCAGGGAAGGACAGAGGGAGAAACTAACTCAGTGAGGGCAGGGATCCATCCCACAACCCTGAGATCAGGACCTGAGCCCAAATCAAGAGTTAGATGCTCAACCAACTGGGCCACCCAGGTGCCCCAGAGTTCCACCTCTTACAAAAGGCTCTGGGAATAAGGAAGTAAAGATGGCAACGGGGTGTGTCTAAGGATGAAAGATCTGGACACTTCCCGCTCTCATTTCCCTCCACTCTTAGGTGTCTTGTGAGAAGATCCTAAAGTTTTCATGGGACCCCCAAAAAGATACAAGAGTGAGCTCAGAGAAAATGTTGGTGACCCTGCTAGTGTGTCTGATGTCTGTGATGTGGTTACCCCACAGCAGAAGAAATGGCACCAGCCACCCCAACTGAGAATGTTGGAGGGATCACAATGGCTAGAAGTTGAACCTGACTTAAATGGGTCATTACCTGGAAGAGCACTGTACAGAGAATGCACTGAGAAACAGAGTGAGGGAGAGGGGATAGGTTTGGAAACAAAGGCCAGGATAGGAAGGAAATGACAAAATCATGAACCAGCAACCTCTTAGTTAACAGTTTTTATGATACAATGATTCTAGGAATACAGAGGCAAACCCAAGGAGAGGGTGAGGATGGAATCTGAGAAGAGGTTCCAACTTTAAATTGGACATTGTACTAAACTGAGAGCAATGGAGATATCACTAAGTTGGACTAAGTATACTCATCATTAATGAGGTTAAGTTTTCTGCTATTGGGTAGAAATAAATAATAATTTAGGTTTCTGAAAAACTACACCCCAGCACATCTGAGCTTTAGGGAAAGTTTGATTGTCAGAGTTATACCCATTAGGAAAGCATGCCCTGCTTCTAAGTCAGCATAATCACTTGACAACACCACTGCCTATAGCTCTTCAGTAAGTTGAACATGCTTCCAATTAATTTTATTGCTGTAGATAAAAGAGGTAATGTGGTAACCATACACCAGGGAACATGCTGCTGATAAAAAAAGAAAACATAAGAACATAAAACATTGAAGTGTGGGTAGAATATTTTATGACCTGAAAGCCAAGAAATACTTAGATGCATAAATATAAATTTTTCATTTCATAGATACTAAGAGTCTAGAAACTTTTTTAGGATCAAAATGCTTGCCATTAGAATAAAAGAAGCTGATAACTTAGTCCTACATTAAAAAAAAAAAAAAGAATCTCCTGCTTCTTCCCTGCTTTAATAAAGGTAAGTCATACTTACTACATACTGTAAGTATACACAACACTGTGTTGGCTACTGTATCAAAATATCTAACCTTTACCAACAATTCGACATCTAACACTGAAACACTGACAAATGATCACAAAGTGATGCAAGAGACAGTTGTATTATCTTCTCCTACTTTATATAATTTTCATTGGTAATGATCATACAACTGCATTTGTTTGTCTGAGCCCCAGGGCAATCAGTTTAAATGCTAGTTAAGAATTTCTAAATAAAATCTATGCGGGGATAGCACCTTAACACTAAATAGGAGAAACACAAAGTAGAGGAAACACAAAGTGGGGGAAAAAATAAGAGTG